GAGACCCTGGGGTCGGGGGGCACAGGCGGACCAGGCCTGGGAGAGGTGAGGGAACTACAGGTACATTCTGAAGGTGAAGCTGCCGGAATCTGTGAAAAACCCCACTAAGCCCGGCCAGGCCAGGTGCAGGTTTCACCCCGTGTGGTTGCCTATGGCCACCTCGCTCCCTGAGTGCACACTGGTTCGGAGAGATGGCTCCTCCCCGATGACAGCAGGTGATCGAAAGCCCGGGGCTGCGTTCAGGGTGCACACAGACTCTCCTTGTCTCCCCTGCCCTGGGGACTGGAGGCGAGGCGGCCTGAGGACTGGCCCATGCAGTGAGCAAGGGAGGCCTGCCCACCACTGAGGAAGTGTGCTTGGAAGGGGGTCCCCCATGCGAGCCCTGCTGACAGCGTGACTGGCACCTGGGGAAAGACCCTGAGGCAGAGGCCTCCCGCTGAGCTGCGCAAGGTTCCTGTGCCCAGCTTGCAGGCTGGTGACATGAGACCCCACGTTGCTGTGCACCAGGTTTATGAAGGGGCCGGCGGGGCAGATGGGAGAAGCTAGCTGTGAAGGGCCGGGACCCAAGGGTGGGTCGGGGGAGAGAATGGTCCCAGCCAGCCTCCCGCCATCCCCCATGCCCACTGACCCGTCCTTGCACCTGGGGGCTTGGAAGGGGTGTGGCCTTGGCTGGGGACAGGGGGCAGTCATTTGGGGGTGGCAGTGTGCTGCTGGGGGCCTGGAGGCGGAGGTGGGGTTTGCAGACTCGCCCCTGGAGGGAGGCTACGAGTTTCTGGGGAAGACAGTGCAAGATATTTAAAATTAGGAGCTGCCCATGGGAGCCACCGGGGCAGGCAGACAGTGCCAGGTGCACCGTGGGTCTGGGCCCAAGGGGCCACACGTGTGGGTTCCAGCAATTGCCCTCCCGCAACAAGGGGGTCCCGGCCCAGCGAGAGGAAGCAAGGACGCGAGCACACGGCATAAACCAGAGATGCTGTTTTATTTACACCACAAGAGCAACAAGCTGTCTGATGAGGTACAAAACGCTGGACTCCGGGGAAAGTGGAATGGAGTCGGCCGTGGAGAAGGACACCGTCGTCGGGAAAACCCCGCCCACACACAACAAAACGAGAATGAGAAAACCGAGAACAAAATCTCCAACTCCACTGAGCAAAAGAAAGAACCGCTGGAAGGTCCAGACGATCCGAGAGAACGGATTACATTACAGGAGAAACAGGAGGCCGGCCGCGCGGCAGACCCCATGCGGAGCTCGCACAGGCGCCCGGGGGACACGGCGTGGCGGCCGGTCTGCGAGAAGCTCTTGGGTGAACAGGGTCAGCCCCCTTCTGTATGTTCGATGATTTCATAAACTGGGAAACCGCGCCTCTGCGAGGGCACACACACACCGGAAACCCAAACAAACACAAGTTGTCCGCCTTCTCCCTCTTCCACTTGGAGACTCTTCACCCCGCCGGGCGCCGCGGGCTGCGTGGGGAAGGAGCGGCCTCTTCCGGGCGCGCCCCTGGGTCCCGGCCGCGCGGCTGGAAGTGAGATCTTAGCCACGCGCGCCCCCGGAAAGTAACGAAAAGTCAATACAGCTGCGTGGAAAGGGGCGCTCTCGGGCCGCAGCCCGGCCGGTCGTCCGTCGGGGTCCGGTGGCCGGGCCCTGTGCAAGATCAAGGGGAGCAAACAAAACAGAGAACAAATGCCTCCAAGTCAGCTGAAGAGAGACGGGCAGTTCACTCTGAATTCTGTGTCGTTTCCCCGCAACACTGTTTCCACATAAATACAATAAACTCTATTATTGGTATGTCACAAGTGCTAGATAAACTTTTCTTCTTAATATGACAAATGTGTAAGTAGTCCTTTTTAGTTTTCTTACAATAAAAAGTACAATTTCTTAAGAATAAGTTCAATAAGACGCAAACGTTCCCCACCCCAACCAGCCCCAACTCTCCTTCAAGGTTTCGTGTGGTTTTACAGAAAAATTTCTATCTTTTGTATCTGCAAATGTCGTGAGAGGGGAACAAAAAAGGCATTTTTTTTTTCTTCCTCCCCAAAGCTGCCGAGTTTGGCGTGCAAAATCTGTGTTCAGTATGAAGACATGCCGGTCATACAGCCCATGCAACCTCCAGCTGTAGGAACTTAAAAAAATAGATTCATATATGTTTATATATATATTTATATATGTATCAATGCCCGTAAAACACGTGGGCCCAAAAGTCTACAAAAAGAATGGAATGAGCACATGGCTGTGACCAGTAAAGAAGGAATGTTCTGATCAAAAAGTAAAACCCATGAACTCCGCCGCGGGTGCCGCGTTTGTGTCTGAGCAACGCCCGACGGTCCTTCCTCTGGAAACAGACTCTTAAAAAAAGTGGAGAAAAACTGAAACACTCTGACAAAGTGGCCCTTGGGAGCCGAGGGGCTGGCGGCCGCCTGCTGGTGGGGCTCGGGCACGTCGTGGCGCGGCAGGAGCCGAAAGGGCGGGCGCCGCGCGTCCCAGCAGCGTTGTGGGGTTTCCCGCGAAGGGACGTAAAGTGCTCGCTCGCTGACCCCTGGCCGGTGCCCCCGAGGCCTTTGCAAAGGAAGAAAAAGGCTAAAGGTGCAAGGGCCGGAGAGGGGAGGGGTGAGGCGCCCTCCCTGACGCGGGGTCCCGCAGATACTGGGGTAGGCCCTGCGCCGTCTGGCCGCTGTGGGGAAGGGCTGAGTGTGTCTTCAAAGAAAAGAAAAGGCTACACGGTAATGCTTGAAGCGCGTCTGTGGCGCTGGAGTGCCGTGGCAAACGCAGCCAGCGCCCTGGCCAGGCCTCTCCAACAGAGACCGGGAGTGAGCCCACCATGGACAGCCAACTCACCCCGCCACCCGTAAAAAGCGTGAGATGACCTCTTTCTCCCTAAAAGTCACGGCCAGCAGGTGGCAGGGGTCCTGTGGGCCGTGCGGAGCTGGCCGAGTTGGCTCCCAGACACTGGGGCCTCCTGCCAGGGTGGGCATCGGAGCCGAGCTAGGCCCACGGGAGGAGAAAGCCACATGGGGCCCCCAGACCCTTCGGTCCTGCTCTGGGACCGCTGTCTGGGTCTGACCACCAGTATCCCAATGACTAAGCCAACCCGAGAGTTTGGACTCATTTGGCCAGAAGTCCAGCTGCATCAGTGTCTCCTTCAGAAGCTACCCTGTGAACGCAACCAGACTCAGAAACGTGGCTTGGGGTTCCCTCCCATGGGAGTGCTGTGCCCAAACTCGGAACATGCTTTGGAATGAAACTGGTGGCTTCAAGTGCTGGAAACTAAGTTACCAGTAAAAAGTGACGGTCAGTTACTGTCAATGAGAGAAAGCGCGGAGAGGGGCGGTCCCGATCGGGACTCCGTGCTGTCCCGCAGGCTCGCCAGGCAGCAGGGGCCCCTCGCCTCCCTGCAGCCACAGGCTTCAAAACCCGGGGCCTGCTGCTTCCAGCCAGGACCCCGGCCTTGCGGCTATGGCGGCAACAACCCCTCACAGGTGTGGGCCTCACGCGGGCCCCATGCATTGCTGACATGCTTGAAAAGGTCTTTGGAAAACTGAATTCAAAATGCTGTCCTGACAACGCGGTCAGAGAAGTTGAAACAGGAGTTTCACAAGTGCTGATGGCCCATGGTGTCTGGCGAGCGACCCTGCCCACAGCACGGTGGAGGGGAGGACACAGCACCCCTTGTAATATGACCGATGTGCAGGGAAGAGGAGCCCCTGGTCTGGATGCAGTCATGGTGACAAAGCCGGGATGGATGCCCCGCTGGCGTCACCGTGGAGACCGTACATCCCCTGACTCCCTTGAGCTCGCTTTCTGAAAACGGCTGCTGCACAACACTGCTCACTGTACAAAAATAAACAAAGATGAAAATAATAAAAAGAAAAAAAAAACCTTTAAAAAGTAAAAAAAAAAAAAAATGTACAAGCAAGGATTTAGAAAGAAAGAAAGTTTAGACATTGTTACCATTCAGGAAACTGCTAAATGGTGAGAAAAAATGTAAAATTCACAAAACAATGCTTATTCAGGATCTCTTTGTGAAAAATTCATACAAAAATCAACAGCAAATTTATATTCTTTGCTATAAAAACTCATTAGGTACATATGTGCACGGAGGTTTGGAGCGGGAGGGGTCCTGTCCGAAGAGAGCGGAAGGAGAGCACACACCGGCCGGCTAGTTGCCCAGTGGCGAACGTGTTGGCGATCTGAAAGTTGTCCAGTCTGGGGTTCAAAAATACGTGAGTTTCAAACGAGATCCCTTTCCATAAGCACCTTGATGTCTAATTCACAAGTCATTCATTCGCCAGGGACCTTTATGATCTGCATTTATTATATATATATACTTTTTCTATAAATGCATTATAAATATTTTATCAAGATTTCATAAGAATCAAGTTTCTTAGCTTGGAATACATTGGAATATATATTATACATATATATATTTATTTATACCTAAAATTTAAGCAATACTTCATGCTACTTGCTTTTCATAAAAAGCATTCCGATCATAACACTGGAAGTGTGCCTAGGACATGCTTCACAACCAAATGGAGATGCTCAATTGTTTGTTATATGATGTACGAGAAGAGAACACTTTGGATTCATTTAAAATTTGTTGGACTTCAAAACCCCCAACAGTATTTGCCACTTTGCTGGAACGACCTCCCTTTCTCTTAAACAGCACTAAAGCAAACCGGGCCTGCAGGCCGGCAGCCCTGAAGCCCCCCATCCTTGCTCCGGGCCAGCACGCAGCCACAGGAAACTGTCCCCCCAATTCCTGCTGTTTATTTTTTCTTAAGGCATTGTTCCTCAGACGTCAGAAAACCCAGCCACAAAAATCCATCAGAGCAATAAAAAAAAGGCACAAACTCGCATCTTCCGATGGCTCGGGGATACCCGAGCCGGTTCCCGCAGGCTCCCGCATCTGCGTGTGTCCGGCGTGGCCCTGGCACGCATGTCCGCCCGTTCCCCCCCCCCCCCCCCCCCGCTGTCACAGACCCCCCTGCGTGCTGCTGTGGCTCCCGGACGCAGCCGGAGCCCAAGAAAACGTTCCCTCGAACAAAAAAAGAAGCTACAGGATGCGTTGAGTGGTTTACACAGAGACTGTGGAATTGTGGGTAATAATCAACGGTAAGCACCAGTTTTCATCGAGTCTGTTTTGTATTATTAGATCTTTGATTTTCGTTTTCCTTCCCTCACGGCCACGAAGTGGGCAGCTCTGCCGCGAGCCGCCACAGGCTTCCTTCCTCCGCGGCCTCCGTCGGGGTAGCCGAGAGCCCGGCGTCGCGGGGGTCCCGGGGCAGTGCAGGGCTGCCCGCTGGGGAGCCCCCAGGGGCCTCCCGCCGCTGCTCCAGCCTTGGGCAGAGGGCGCGGGCAGGCCGCACAGAAACAGGAGCTTTCTCGGCGGAGCTTCCAGACGGGGACAGACAAACAAGAGGCCCGCAGCTCCACGGGAGGCTACAGGGGCGGCTCCTCTTCCATGGGCTCCTCGTCGGGTCTGCGGTGGTGCCCAGCACAACAGAGACAGAGCCCGTGGGGTTAGGGCCAAGAAGCTGGGGGGGGGGGGCGCGCCGCCCACTCCCCACACCCCTGCCCGTTCTTCCCGCCACCCCTGTTCCGGAGTGAAGGCTCCTCCAGAGTTTCCACGGGTATTCCCACTGGAAAGAGGTGGCCGTGATGGTGGCATCTACGGCTGGGACCCCTGCCCTCTGTCCCTCCGTCCCTTGCCAGGCTGTCGGTGGAGGGCGGCCCCGCTATAGGGCTGAGATGCTCACCTCTTCTCAGCGGGCTTCACACCCACGGACAGCGAGGCCATGGCGGTGACGGTCTCTGCTTCCTCGTTCTCGCACTTCTGGGCCTCTACCAGAGAGTGGCCCACTGTGGAGCAGAGGCGTGGCAGGGAGCGCCAGTACTGGCCTGGGGGGCAGAAGCAGCGTTACGGAGCCTCCCCTGGCTCGCAGCGCACAAAAACTGGGCACCTGGGAGAGGGAGCTGGCACAGCCCAGTCCTCCCCTCGGCAGAGGCACCTGGGATGGAGTAGGGGTTGGCGGGGGCAGGGGGGGCAGTATGAGGGGCACGGACAGGGGGCCACCCAGACTGGAGCCCGCTGCTCGCTGTTGTCTCAGATCTGGGCCTTCTGAGTGGGCAGGCTGGTGGGGGCACAGGGCAGACCCACCTACACGACAGTCTCTGTGACCTGGGTCATCCCACGACCCCCCAGCGGCCCAGGCAACTCACTGTGGATTTCAATGACTTTCTCCATGGACCGGACTGCATTAGCGTTGGGTCTCTGCTGTAAGACCTTCTCTGGGAGAGGATCAAGCTAGGAAAAAATGTATAAATACACAGCGAATGGAAAGGCTGTCCATACAATCCCCGTGTGTGCCAGGATGGGACACTCAAAGTCAGCTTCTCAAGTGTATTTGTGGACAGAGAAGAAAAAAAAAGCGAAATGTGGCTTTGTTATTTACTATAATTTTTTTTTTGAAACAGAAGTTGATTTCTTTTCTTTGAGGTATTGTTTTCAGAGATCGTCAGGCGTATTCACGAGCACTCGTGCAGGCAGACACCGTGTCTAGGAGCCGGCTGGCACAGAAGGCTGTCTGCCTGGGGCCTATGGGAGATACCATCTACACCACTGCGCAGGAGGGGGAAATAATGACCACTTTCTGGAAATACCACTTTCACGCCTGTAGTCTTATAATAAGAAACCCTGAACATCCCATTGACGGTTTTCTTCCCCCAAATGGGGAAAAGATGAAAGAAAGAAGACAATGAGTAGAGTCTCTCTGAGGGGAACCTGTGCTCCCAGTGTTCCCTCCAGTGTAGACCACAGAGGACAATAAGGAAGCACAAGTCAACCAGAGGCCCACAGGGCACGCTGCGGCGTCCTCAACAGGACCACTAAGCTCGCTTGGTAAAACACATCATGAAAACATAAAAATAATTTTAAAAACTTTAAATAATCAGACAAGCCTACAACACTGAGGGAGATCTGCTGGGTTCCAGAAGGAAGCTGGAGCCTCGTGGGGCCATCACACATCCTGGGACAGGCCAGGGGCCGTGCAGGCCTGCGTGGGAGTGACCACAGCACCCCCAGCCCAGAGATGAGCCAGGCTCATGGAGACAACGTGCCCGCAGAGACACCCGGTGGGGAGAGGTCTGCTCTTAGCCTGCGCTCTGCAGAGAAGGAAGGGCCAGACACGGTCTCCCTGGTTCACATGCCATAAGTGGAGGGGCCAGAGCCCACAGCGCAACCGTGGCCTCCTTGCAAGGCTGCTGACTGGTGTTCCCACTTCAGTTCCAAGATGCCTGAGTCTACACCCCGAACAATCATCCAACAAACACAGATGTCTGCCAGCATGGTCTGGGCTCAGGAGAAACCAGCAAGGTCTCCAACACCACCCTCCAGTAAAGGAACCGGGCTTGGTCTTCCCAAGGCTGGGACAGGAGAATTTAGGAAGAGCCTGGTGCGTCCCGCAGTATCAGGGATGGAGGGAGCGCTCGGGACAGTGACGGGTGGGCTAAAGGGACACACGGGAGGCCTGGTGGGGAAGAGACCGCAGCACGGTTCTGGGCCGTAAATCAGAGCATGAAACGTCCAGGAGTCGCGCTGACAAACAGCAGGGACTGGATATTGAACAGGGAGGAGACACACATGGTTCTTGAAGAACTGCACATAATCTGTGTCCCCATGCCCACTCTAAGAGGTGGGGCTGAGCACCTTGAAAAATGAGACAGACACTGAAGGACAGTCCACAGAGAACCTAACCAGCTTCTTCGCTGAAAATAGTCAATATTTCAAAAATGACAACCAAGGGAAGCCTGGGAGGCCACCACAGCCCAGAGGGGAATAAGGACATGGATGGCTGGATGCGCAGTGGGGTCCCGGATGGGGACCCTGACGCAGTGAGGGCAGCCATAGTAAGGTGAGTGAAATCTGGGCATAGTTTGGCTTAGCAGTGCCAAGCCAGGGCTGGCTCCCAGGCTGGGATAAAAGCTCCACCGAGGCCAGGCACCACTGAGAGAAAACCGTCCGAGGGCCTGCGGGAGTTTGGTGACAGCTCTGCCATCCTCCATTAGGTCTAAAGCTACCCAGAGTTAAAAGTCTGGTGAAAAAACTCAGATTTGGATTTTCAAAGACTGTAGTTATTGGATTGATCAGTTTTAAACTATAAAGTATAATTAATATGAATTAAAAATAAGAGACTAATGTAGGATTACTGAACGGAACTGGAAGATTTGAAAGAGAGCCAAACAGAACTTGTAAAAAGGAAGACACAACAGCAGAAACTGGAAACGCCTATCAGCTGAGGAGAACATTGCTAACCTGGAAGCAATGGCCGAAAAAAGGACTCTGAGTGCACCAGTGACACGGGGAGCAGACAGAGGGGAAGGGTCTGTGTGTCCCAGTGGGTGGGGGACAGACCCGAGCAGGAGGCATCACAGGAGACTCCCATGCCATAGGGGCATCAGGGCGAGGCTACAGAGCACCAGAGATGAGCAGAGAGCAAACGGTCTGCTGAGGGAAGCAGCTCACTAGCCACCAGGTCCCGTGTGGCAGAGAACGACAGGACGGTGTGCGGCCACCTCAAGGCATCCAGAGAGAATACGACCATCGACCACAACTGTGGGCCCTATCGGTCAAGAACGAGGGCAGGGGGCACCCAGGTGGCTCAGACTGTTAGGTGTCTGACCCTTGATCTCAACTCAGGTCATGATCTCAGGGTCTTGAGTTCAAGCCCCATATTGGGCTCTGCGCTGGGTATGGAGCCTACTTAAGAAAAAAAAAAAAAAGAAAAAAAAAAAAAAAAAAAAAGAAAAAGAAAGGAAAAAAAAAAGAAAAAAAAAGAATGAGGGAAAAATCACAACTTGAATAAAGACAACCAGATAGGGGAGCTTGACACTGGTGTTCCTCTCCTAGGAACGTACGGGGTGTGCTGGAGGCACAGTGATCCAGGGTGATGGTCTGAGATGCAGGGAGGAATGATGGACAAAGAACGTGTCAGGAATGCAGGAAAGGCCACAGATGCAGGAACCACGTAAAACAGTAATGGTGTCAAGAAAGCAAATAGGAAGAAGGGAAGGAAGGAAGGAAGGAAGGAAGGAAGGAAGGAAGGAAGGAAGGAAGGACAGATGGGGAAAGGCTAGTCAGGAGCCGCACGCACAGCCCAGGAAGGGCCGGGGTAGGGGCTGCCCAGCAGAACACACAGGACACCGGCCAGCGCAGGTCAGTTTCCAGCAAGCAGGTAACATTTTGGTGAAGGCACGTCCAGAGGGGGTGTGCTGTGTCTGGTCTGTGGACCCTCGCGAGTCCGGGTGGTATGGGGAGGGAAGAGGCCACTGACTGCATCATGGGCACGTGTTACCACCTGGAAGGATCGCCCCTGGGAAACAGCAAAGCAGCTGTGTATCTTCCCCCCAGGGGGGAGTGGATGGAATGTGGGGGACTCTCAGTCATGTGGGGAGAAGGCAGAAAAGGGACCAACACAGCACAGAGCGAGATGTAGAAATGAGTCTGAAAAAAGCAAAGCCACAAAAAACAAGCCGCTACCAGCCCCACTGTAAGGTCCAGAGTCTCCACTTAGTGGGCCACCTGTGGACTGGTGAGCAAAGCCGTGGTGAGACCCAGCCTGGCACGGCCCACGAAGGCGGCATCTGTGAGAGCAGGGAGGCGGCAGGACTCAGCGGGCTTCCTGCACGATGTGCGGAAGCGGAAACCCATAGCTGGATGTAAAGGACAGCTCTACGCAGTGACAAAAACATCAATTCATCAAAAGGATGTGATGACTTAAAGTTTGCGCACATTTGATAAAACTGTTTAACACGTGGGAAGTGAACATTGGCCGATGGACGTGGCCAGACGCGCCATGTGAGGAGAGAGTGGCACATGCTCCTTACGGACAGCAGACAGAAATCAGCAGAGAAAACCACATGAGGGCACCACGCGCCAACCTGGCCGAGGGACGGAGGAGTGTGAACAGAGAGGAGGAGGTGCGCTCCTCCAAACCACGTGGACGTCCACGCAGGCGGACCACGCTAGCCCACACACAAGGCCACTACACCTGCTCTCAGCACGGCGCCATCCATTAGAAACGGGGCACAAATGAGAACTTGAGACCTTGAGGCTGGAAATTAAACCCACTGATCACAGGTCACCGGAAATCAGGAAACGCTTGGAAACGAGAAGCAAGGAAAATGCCACGTATCAGCGTGGGAGGCACAGCCAGTCCTGAGCCCTAAATGCGGCCGTCAGGTAGAGCAGGTGCTCAGTTCAGGAGGCGAGCCAGAGAAGAGAAGAGTCCTGCAGAGAGGTAAATACACAGAAAAGGGGCAGAAACAAATTTTGGAAAAGGAAGGACATTGTAGCTGAAAGTGGATTCTTAGAAACAGCTTAACTGGACAAGTTCTAGCGGGGCGGCGCCAATGCACTCCAGCAGGGGAAGGGGCCATGGCACGGGGGCGTGGGAAAACCGGCCGAGGGGACAAATCTCTGCTGCAGTGCGACGTCCCAACGCTCATCCATGGACAGACAGAAATCGGCTCAGAGTCACTTTAGATTTTCCCCTACAGGAGACCCGTGGCCTAGGAAAGCTCTCCCGGTCAAGGAAGAGATTACTCTGTTCTCGCGGTCACTCCTCCAGAGGTCAGGAAAACAGGAGATGCCTAACTGTTCCTCAGTCCATCTGCCTACCCACCCATCCATCCATCCGTCCACCCGTCCATCCGTCTGTCCACCTGTCCACCCATCCAGTCACCTGTCCATCTGCCCATCCGTCTGTCCACCCATCCATCCACCCACACATCTGCCCATCCTGCCTTTCACCCACCCACCCACCCATCCAATTTCCCCCTCTAAGAATAAACAGGAAAAATACGGTCTGTCAGGAAAATGGGCCAAAGCCATGAACTTCACTAGAAGAGAAAGTCTAAGCTGCCAATAAGCACCTGGGAAGATGCCTGGTGCCGGGAATGGTGAGGGAATTGATCCAGCTTGCCCGGGTGCTGTTCACCCCTCACCCGGCAGAGCTCAAACATCGCAACACCACGTGTCACCAAGGCCCGGCGGCGGGAGCTCATCCTGGCCGCCAGCCTACGACAGCCCGCTGGGTCCCGGGCTGAGGAAACGGCTCTGCTGCCCCCGGCAGCTGGGACCCCTCGTGGAGACAGTGGCCTCCCCAAGAGCGGCTTGCTCAGCCAGGTCCTCTGCTGAGGGCATGGAGAAGCAGAGCCCAGCTGTCTTCCAGGCACGAAGCTGTGCCCACCAGGTCCGGGTCATCAGAGCCTGTGGGGTCCCACCTGTCCCACTCGACTCCAGTATTT